CGGGTTTCCTGTGGGCTTTCATGTGATGGGTGGAAGGATTTCTGACAGCCGAAAGTTTGTCTGACCAATGATGGCGATCTTTCTTGGTACTGTTGTGTTTCTCTCTCATTGTGGTGGGGGCTGTTGCAAACAGTGCTGAATAAAACTCACGTTGTCATGCTTGACCTCAAGCTACCCCTACCTGCTGCACCATCTTGCTGGCCCAATAATAGCTTTTTAAAAGTTCACTTTGGTATTAATGTTTGTATGTGTATGGTGTGTGCACATGCGCACACTGCAGTGTATATGTACAGGGTCAGAGGGCATCATGTGGACTCCGTTCTCTTCTTCCACCTCAATCTGGGTTCCGGGGACTGAATTTGGGTCATGGCAAGCTCCATCTTGGGGTGCCCCTGCCCCCCAAGGGGTTTTGCCCAGCAGTGTAGCTCTTTGAGGCTCATTCTCCAGATTGCAAGTGAACCAGTGCTCTGCAAATACTCTACCACTGAGACACACATCCAGCCCTGCTTCCCCACCCCTCCCCCCACTTTGTAGACAGTCTTATGTCACCCAGGCTGGGGTCAGACTTCCTGTGTAGGCAAAGATGACCTTGAGCTTGTGATCCTTCTGTCCCTACCTCCTGAGAGCTAGAATTATAGGCATAGGCCACAAGGCCTGGTTTATGCAGTGCCAGGACTAGAACCCAGGGCTTTGTGCATGGCAGGCAAACACTCTGCCAACTGATCTACAATGTCCTCTGCCTTCACAGTCTCACTAAATTGTCAGAGCTGGTCGGTCTTTAATTCACTTTCTAATCCAGGCAGGCTTTGAATTTAGGATCGTCCTGCTTCAGCCTCCCAGGTAGATGGGATTAACAGACCATAGCTGGTTTAGCTGACCTACTTTGACCGACTTAAATACAAGTCAGGCTAGTGCCTCTGTAGTTGTTGGCAAGGACTCTTTTTGTTGTTTGATACTTGTTAAAGGCAATTTAGTTTGAGATCTCTCTTGTAGGATTCAGATACAATCAAGATGGGAAGGGCTACCAAAGGTGTCATAATTCCCAACTTTTCTGTACCAGAGAATTGAGAGAGAGAGGAAGAAGTTGCGAGCCCCCATCCAGACCCTCCTGGTGTTTTCTTCCTCCCCTTAACCCCAGCACAAAGGTGGCTCTCCACTTCCCCTGCTGAGGGTGGGGGTGAGAGTGCTCTGCCTGTGTCCCTGACAAGTGGTGGCTTCTAGTCAGAGGCTCAGCCAGCAGCTGACTCCTGCCACTCAGCTGGGAGGCCTGTCCTGCAGAGCAGTGGGTTGAAACTCTCTCCCAGCTCCCCCAGCTTTCTTCCTGTCCCTTCTGTGTCTCTCCTGTCCCCCAGGAGATTCCCCAAGAGCTAACACTGGATGCCTTGCTGGAGATGGACGAGTCCAAGGCGAAGGAGATGCTGCGGCGTTGGGGGGCCAGCGCTGAAGAGTGTAGCCGGCTACAGCAAGCTCTCACCTGCCTACGGAAGGTGACTCGCCTGGGTAAGAAAGGCTTGCTTCCCTCCCCCAGGCCTCTGTTCCTGCCTGTGCTCCCAGGCCTGGCCAGTCTCCTGGGAGGTGGGACTTGTACAGAAGTAGGTCTTGGGACAGGGAGGGGAGTATGCCTCGGTTTCTGAGGCAGCTTTGGTGCGGTTGTTGAGAAAAGTACGCTGGGCCTTGGCCCCAAGGGAACCCTCTCAGAGTCTCCAGAGCCTTGGAGCCCAATTGCTCTGGCCAGTCTGACCTAGGAAGCTTCAGCCATTGTTAGGAATCCCTAGTTGGCTTTCAGGACAGGCCCTGTATGACAGGCCTCCCACACATACAGGAAGGCATCTGTGTTGCTCCAACCCCTCCACTAGCTTCCTGCATTACAGCCTCCCTCCGCTAACCAGTTCCCCTGTTGCTCCCATCCTCATGGGTGGTTTCGACTCTACTCACAAGGGCCCTCTGGCCCGGCATAATTAGAGAAATCATGCAGCTTCTGGGAGTGTGTCCAGGACTGTCCCAGGCCGTGTATAACCCTGCCATTACCACAATCTCCTCAGGGATTATTCATAGGCATTTCATATCTTCCCTTGGAAACAGTTTCCAACTCTTGACCTAGTGTTCCCATCACTGCCCAAAGAAGGCACTGAAATAAGCCTAATGAGTGGAAGCAGGCCTCATTTAAAAGGTTTCAGAGACCTGAGCCGCCTGCTTCATCTCTGCCCTCCTGAGGCCCTGAAAAGGGAGGCACCCAGTTTTTTTTTGAATTTTTTAAAAAGATTATACTTATTTATTATGTATACAGTGTTCTGCCTGTGTGTATGCCTGCAGGCCAGAGGAGAGCACTAGATCTCATTACAGATGGCTGTGAGCCACCATGTGGTTGCTGAGAATTGAACTTAGGACCTTTGGAAGAACAGGCAGTGCTCTTAACCGCTGAGCCATCTCTGCAGCTACTTAAATTTTTTTTTTTTTTTTTTTTTTTTTTAAGGCAGGGTCTCACTGTGTAGCACTGGCTGGCCTAGAACTCCCTGTGTAGGCCCGGCTGGCCTCAAACTCACAGAGATCCACCACCACCATGCCCAGCTAATTTATTTTATCCCTCAAAGGGCAGGGCTTGAGTTCCTTACTTACAGTACCTGAGTGTGTGTGCTACTAGATACGTCTGTGTTCCACTATGCCAGGACACAGCTCTAGGGACACAAACTTTTGTGGTTTCGTTTGTTGTCCACTCCCAGATTTGAAACACCTGCATTCCTATGACAGGTTTTGGACTTCCCATGTCCCACATGACTTCTTCACTGTCACCAGGGTCATAAGCCATCAGAGCATCTTGCTTGCTTACACCCCAGCAGGACCTGGTGAGGGTTCAGCCACCCTGTGCCTCAGTTCCTCATCTGTACAATAAGGGAATAGCTGCCCCTCTGGTAGGACTGAAGGTGAAATGAACTCTAAGGGTCACTAAAGGTCAGGTGTGCTTTTCAGTATTAGGCTGTGGAGGATGGGAAATGTTGCCATTATTTCCCCTTTCAGTCGCTGGTCTTTTCTTCCTATGTAGTCTGTGTTGGCTATGAGCTCACCATCCTCCTATGTCGGCTCCCTGAGTGCTATGATACAGATGTGTGCCACTCAGCCCGGCTGATTCTTGGTTTTTGTTTTATGTCCGTTCTGCTTTGTTTTGAGACAGGGTCTTACTCTATAAGCAGGGTTTCTGACAGGCAGTGTACTACCATACCCAACCGATGTTTGAAGATTTTTTTTTTCCATCTTTCCTTTTTGGTTTTTGAAACAGGGTCTCTTGTAGCCTAGACTGGCCTTGAACTCACCATGTAGTCAAGGATGCCCTTGAACTTCTGATCCTTACACCTTTTGCTCCCTGAATACTGGGATCACAGGTGTGCCAGCTCCTATCGCCACCCCAGCTAATGTCCTAGAGCAGAATTTTCCCTTCCTCACATACCTCAGCTCTCTACAGGATCTGTCGCCGCCTCTTCCTTCTCTGATGTCCCACTTTGGGGTGGGTGTCCCAGCCTTCCCCTTTGTGTCAGCTGAGTATTATGGAAGGCACTGTTTGGGCGCACAGGAGCTCCTGACAAGCCAGGTGAAGCTGGGAGTAGAGCCTGCTACTGCTGAGGAACAGTGTCACCTCAGTCAGAGTGTCATGCTTTCAGATAGTAGTGGCACTCTTGAGTCCCTTGTATTTCTTACTGACCCTTTACCCCACAGGAGGGGAGCACAAAGAGGACTCTGGTTGGAATTCGGCAGATACACAACGGGAAAGTAGTTTGGGGCCTTCCGTGGACATGCTCTCCCCGCTGGGCAGAGTGGGTGCCAGCACTCAGGGCCCTCGTTCCGTCTCCGTGTCAGCCCTGCCTGCCTCGGACTCTCCAGTCCCCGGCCTCAGTGAGGGCCTCTCGGACACCTGTATTCCCTTGCACACCGGTGGCTGGCTGAACCCCCGGTCCCTGCACAGCTTCATCACACCCCCTACCACACCCCAGCTACGACGGCACGCCAAGCTGAAGCCGCCAAGGACACCCCCACCGCCAAGCCGCAAGGTCTTCCAGCTGCTGCCCAACTTCCCAACACTCACACGCAGCAAGTCCCACGAGTCCCAGCTGGGAAACCGAATTGATGAAGTCTCCCCAATGAGGTAAGTTTGTCTGTGACTTCCTCTTAAACATATGCAAAGGACTGATACAGTCAACATAGATGTATGGAGAAAAAAATAAGTGTCCATCCCTCTGATGTAATTGGACTCAATCCCAACAGATCTCTTTCTGTACATACATAAATATATAAAATGATGCCATGTATCAGTCAGGATAGGCTAGACTAGGCCACAGTAACAAACAGGCCCTGTATCTCCAGTGCTTAAAACGCCAGTAGAACAACTCTTGTCTGGAACATTACTGGTCACTGATAGATCAAACGGAATTCTAGATGTTATGCCCTGGCAATTAAATAGAGTTCCTTTGGACTGGTGAGATGGCTCAGAGGTTAAGAACACTGGTTGTTCTTCCAGAGGTTTTGAGTTCAATTCCCAGCAACCACATAGTGGCTCACAACCATCCATAAAGAGATCTGGTGCCTCCTTCTGGCCTGCAGGGATACATGCAGGAGGGACACCGTATACATAATAAATAAATAAATCTTTTTTAAAAAAATAGAGTTCTTTCTCTATTTTCGTAAGTTGCTTCTAATGATCCACCATTGAAGGACTAAACATATTGGGAAAGAACACTTCTCATCTCCAGCACACACCAAAAGCATTTGGGAAAAAATGTGTATGTGCAGTTTTTCTCTTTTCCTTATTTCTTAACAATACAGTAGAACAACTATTTAAATGGCGTTTATACATGGTCCAAATGCAGGGGTGTCGTGGCTCATGTAGGTCTCTGTAGAGGTACACAATGAAAAGGCTCCTCACCACCACTACCAGTTTTACCCTCACCTGAAGCCAAACAAGCTGCGAGGTTTCTTAATATCCACAATAATCGAAGCCACCTGACTTAAAAACCTGCTCGTGGCATGCTGTCGTATAACTTAGTTGGCATGTCCCTTCCAGGGGGTGTTTAGATCCTTGTGGGTTTTGCTTTTCTCTTTGGGTTCTTTTCCTTGTCTCCCTGAGGAGTCAGGCACCTGGCTCTGTCTGTGACGTGGTAATCCTTTTATGCTCACGTGCAGCCTGTCTTGGGCCCATCATGTGTCAGATGCTGGGTGGCTGAGCTGGCTTTGCATTATTGACTGTGGAGCAGAAACCCAGAAGATCCCTATGCTGACCTCCCTAACCAGCTGTGCCACCCAGCCCAGACGCTACCAGGTACAGCTGTAGAATACAGGAGAGTTACTGCAAGCCTATGGGTCCGTTGGAGAGGCCCTCACAGTGGCTCGAAGCTGGTGCCCTTGTTTCTCATTTTTTTCTCCAGAAGAGCACTAGGCTTTGTCCCATGGTCAATTAGGGAACATATCCTCAAGCCAGGAACACTGCTGCCTTCAGACTTTGGGATTCGGAGTCCATTCCCCCCACACCCAGCCACCTGATTGAGCCCTGACAGAGGCTCCCCCTTGCTCCCTGCTTGGTTTAGGAGAGGTGAGTTCCAGAGGAGAAGGCAGGCTTGCTGGGATCCTGTCCTTACTTGACCCTTCCTGGAATCCATCTTTCAGCTCTGCATAGCAGATTCCCTGCTCTCCTACCCAATTCCCTGCCTCTAACACACCAACCCACCCCTTCTTCATGGACCTTGGGCACCCAACCCCGTAGACCGTGTGACTGAGGAAGATAGTGTTTCCTCGGTGGTAAAAGGGGAGTGAATCTGCTATGCTGAGTGGCTAGCAAGGCTTACACAGAGCCAGGTCTCTGTCCCTTGTCCCAGCCTTTGGCCTGCTCTATTACCAGGTAATTTTCCAGGGACAGGCTGAGCCAATGTAATGACATCACCCCCTTTTTCTCCCTTTTGTCTCTCCAGGTTTGGTAAGAACAATTTATTTTCATCCCTTCTGCCACCGGAAGTCATGTTCGAGTCGCTGTCCCTGTCTAGGGTGGATTTCTCTGACCCCACCTTGGCCCTGTTGGCAAGCTATTCCATAGTTCAGAAGCAGAAGTGCTGGCAACCGCTCCATGAAATAGCTCGAAGACAGCTGACCTTAAATGAGTGGCTGGCCTTAGCCCAGCCCATGAGAAGTAGAGACTCTGAAAGTGTCTCGGGTCACATGAGCCCCATTCCAAGCCTGTCTCCACCTTGCCATCATTGTAGTGACCCCTGTGCCTACTCCTTTCTTCTGAGCTATCTCAGAAAGCTGTGCTCTGGGTGGGAGACGTCGTCTACCTGGTGCCCTACTGAGGTCTCAGAACCCCCCTCTCTAGGAGACAGACGTTCCCAGAGGCAGCTCCAAATCTGAGGGTGTAGGACCCTGGAGGAGAAAAGGAGGCCTAGGCAACCCTGGCACCCCCTTCCCTCCCCTCTGTCTCCAGCTGGGGTCAGGTTCTCACTTGTACTCACAAACTGCAGAGGGGTCAGCTGGGCCTCCTGAGTCTGCTTTGGGTGGTCTGAGTATCGAAGCAGCAATGTCTGGGGTTTTCTAAGAGAAATAGTGATTTGTTTTTCTACCAGCTACTTGATTAACAGTGGCTGGGGTAAGGTCCAGGGAGAGAGGGCAGACAGTGACAGTCCTTGAGTGGGAGGTGCTGCAGGGTCCCAGGAAGGCACGGGTAAGGAGAGGAGGGTACCTGCATTTCTCTCTCTAGGACCGATACCAAAGCCAGCTTCTCGGACCCTAGGCTATCCTTGACCATCACTACTCATTAGAATACAGTGGCTGGGGGGGGGTGGGAACCACAGCAGCAAAGCTATGGGGCTCTCAGGACCAGTGTTCCATCCAGGTCCAGACCAGTGCTACCTGGGCACAAATAGCGGCATACTTGTGGCCAGTGTGACGAATCAGAGGTCAGGCTCTGAGCCTGATGACTGCCTCTCACTTTCCTACTATTTCTCTGTAGCTGGCCACTCACAACTCTCAGAGTGGTGTGTTTAGATGGCCTTGGCTGCTGACTGGAGTGGGGTGACCCTAGGAGGAAGTTGGGGGGCAACAGCCTCATAGGGGTGTGCCAGAGAGCTGCAGGCGATCTGGTTGGGGGTTCCCAGTCATCAGGAGGGTGGCACAGGATCTTTTTTGTTACAATCACAGTTCTTTGGTATGTATTATTGTACTACTGAACTGTGGTACCTGGCCTTAGATGAGTCTGTGTTGTGAGCACCAGCTGTGTGAAGGAACATTAGGAGAGAGGGGCAGTAGCTACCCTGGGGGGTGGGGGTGTACTGACTCAAGGGACATTTGTCACCTGAGCACTGTGCCCCTGATTTTTTCTGGGTTATAGAGACCTTTGATACATTGGATTAAAATCCAGACCCTGTCCATCAAGAAAAAAGCCTGCAGTAGTCTACTGATCAGCACTGATGAGGAGTCCTGGGTCCCTGAATCCTTTCTTCAGACTCAGAGAATGGGGTTCAGAGAATAGGCTATGGGTGATGGACAGTATCCAGCTGCTGTTCCGCTGCAAAGCCAGCCTTGCCGTAAACACTGGGGTGCCTGCTCTTAGAGGAGAGGGAACCCCCAGGGGACCTGAAGAAGGTAAGCAGAGGGGACCCTCCAAGCCTATGGTCCTCCTTGGCAGAGAAAGAGGAGCAGGGATGTCCCCAAAGGTTCAAGGGATGACCAGGAAGAACCACGCCTTCTCCTTGCTCTTCCCACCCAGATCAGCAAGGACTGTCTCCAAAGTGCTGCTGGCTGGTGGAGGTGCATGGTTGACCAGCCCTGTGCCTTCCACTGAGCTCAAATTTCCACCTGTTTAACCAGAGTTAGCCAAAGTTGAACCCTAAAGGAGAATGGCCATGAAAGGGGGCAAAAAAGGCTGGCATATGCATGAACTTGCCTTGCCTTGCCTTTGCACTCCTGCTGCCTCCCCAGTCTGCCTCCCACCAATGCATCATACGTAGACAGACAAGTGTCCCAGCTGCAGAGCTGGGCAGAGATACGTGCTAGAGAGCAATCCAGTGTGAGGGTGATATCTGTTCTCCTTGTCCAACTGGGTCTGGCCCATCCCTCTTTGGTGGATGTTGGTTCAGTGAAGCATTTCTGGGCTGTGCGACACAGCTTCACACCCCATCTGGCCTGGGATCTCTGAGCTAGAAGGTCTTAGGCACAAGCCAGTCCCACAGAGCCTCCTCAGTTCATCCAACCTGGGTTCTTTCCTCACAGATCTCCCTCATGGATCCCCACAGCTGGTACGAAGGGATATCGGGCTCTCAGTGACACACAGGTAGGTTCAGCTGTGGGGAGGTACAGAGCTGACCTGGGCTCCACAGGGCACTGTTGGGTCTGTCCTGGTTGTCTTTTGCCCTTTGGGCCTTCTGGTCCCTCACCTGTCCCTCCTTCGGTCTTGTTCTCATCCTGCTGAAGGGAAACATTCTCCTACCTTCTCCAGGTTCAGGAGAAGTCCTGGGAAGAAGCCTCTATATCATACGGGTCCTGGGCCATCAGGGTCCCCTCTGGAGCATGTTGAAAATCCATGTTCCTGGACCCTGCCCATATGCTTCTCTGCCTGGCCAGATGGATTTTGTTTTCAAGACAGGATCTCACCCACTGTATAGCCCTGGCTGGCCTGGACTTGCTGTGTAGACCAGGCTGGCCTCAGACTCACAGAGATTCTCCTGCCTCTGCCTCACAACTGCTAGGGTTGAATGTGTGCACTGTCTCACCTAGCAACAATCTGGGTTTTAACAATCCTAGAGATTGATATTTTTGTACATGTAAAAGAGGGCACTGGAGATCTGTGGCAAGGACCGACCAGAGGTCTGGCCTCAATGCTCATGAGACTGGAGTGTGCTGGCCACGGAGTTCTGGATGGATTGCAGGACGGTACCTTGCACTGGTTGTCCCTGCTTAAGTCTGTTGTAATCACACAGTGGACACTGTCCGGGGCTCAAGGGCATTGCAACTTGTTAGAGCCTGTGGTTTCCATGGAAATTGTGGGCTATGTTCCAGCTGTGCTGATAGTGGCCTCAAGTTCTCTCCCAAGGGGGAGTTCTAGCTCCCAAGGGTTGAGCAGTGCATTTGAGGTCACTGCCAATGGGGCAGAGCCTGAGCCCCGTTGCACAGGGTCTTGTCCATTCCAGAATCTCTCAGCTGCTGTCAGGGAAGAGGCTCTGGGCACACACAGCCAGGATAGACCTCGCCCACCTCTCTGTCTCAAGGAAGACGTTCTGGGCACACACAGCCGGGATAGACCTCGCCCACCTCTGTTTTAGGGAAGAGGCTCTGGGCACACACAGCCGGGATAGACCTCGCCCACCTCTGTTTTAGGGAAGAGGCTCTGGGCACACACAGCCAGGATAGACCTCGCCCACCTCCCTGAGTTGCTTCCTGGGCCCGCCTAACTCTTGGAGGTGGTTGTAATCCTCAAGTGAGCTGTTTGTGGGTGTGTTGCAAACTGCTCCACAAACACTGTCGCCAGTCATTCTACTGTTACTATGATGTACTGTGTTTTCAAAAAGTGTGTTCCTCCGAAAATGAAAAGCTACCTGAGTTTCCCTGAACTGGCTTTGTGCATTTGTGCTGGCGGGTACCACTCCTCTTAAATCCCATTTCTCCTTCCAGTCTATCTTCTGGTTTGTTTTTGTTTTTGTTTAGGTAGATTTTAGACTGAAAATACATATGCTTAGAATTGAAGAGGTTTCAGAGGGTAGAGAGAAAAGTCCCTCTCACTCTTGCCCCTGGCTTCTCAGTGTGCCTGAGACAGGTCATGT